TCTACTGTAGATCTCTGTTGAAACAATGAATCATTCGCTAAATGATCATCAAAATATAGTTTCCTCGGTTAAAGGTTATTCGAGTCTATGTGTGTGTGTGTGTTGTACTTTCTCTCATTTTAGCACCACGCCACATTCCATACCATTCCAGTAGTAGGAAATTCTTTGCCCGCAGCACCATTCTTCTTCCACAGTCGTTCCAGTGTTTCGTTCCCCCTGGAAAGCAGCAGCAGCGTACAATTGGAAATGGTGACTAGTTCCACAATTCCATTCCACGCCATTCCATTCCATTCCATTGTGTTTTGTTGTGGCTCGCTCAATGATAATCCAATTAAATAACAACAGTTATAGATCTGAATACATATGTGCTATAGCCGTGTGTGTACATCTAATGTATCGGTATCTATAGGCGGCACACATCTATCTGTGAGTGTATCTGTATCGGTATCTATAGGCGGCACACATCTATCTGTGAGTGTATCTGTATCTATTTACAGTCTAAGTGCATTTATAAATCAAATAATCTATGTGCTGACGTCCGTGTACGGTTCGTTCTGCTCCCAACTTCATTTCTCACTCCTCCTATGCTTATTCCTCTGACCGAAGCGCCGACCCTCCTGGCCCTCCGCTGGTCCCATCGTATTCCTCCATCTCCCCTCCCTAATGACGTCAGCGTAATCGCAGAGGCAGCTTATAAAGAAGAAAAAAAAACAACAACAAAAATAACAAACAAAATGCAAAGCAAACACAAGTAACAGTTCATAATGGAACGAATGGCGAAAGCGAAGAACGGAGAACGAAAACTACAAAAGAAAAAAAGAAATATGTGTCGATAGGAAATTTCAAAGACAAACCAAAAACTAAGTACAGTGGTCACTCGAGAGTGAGGGAATAAAAGAATATTCCAGCCGTACAGAATTTAGTCATTATCCTTTCGCTTATGGGAATTATCTCCAATGAATCAAGCGCTTTCAATTTTGAAGATATTCCTTTGAGAATATTTTTCAGCGCATCGTAAGATTTTTATTCCAAATCCAAAGGTTTTTTATCCATCTTCTTATGGAAATGTTTGTGCAGTGAAACATGGCATTTTTATTCAAATGGTATCCTTTCCCTTATGGGCATTTTGTGCAGTGTATCAAGGGCTTTTTATTAAAAATTATTTAGCTTATGAGTCTTTTCTTTTTGCAGTGAATAAAATTGTATCCTTCGCCTATGGGAATTATCCACAGCAATAGAGTATTATGGGATTTGTATTTCAAAGTTTTCCATTTTCCTATGGGAAATTTGTATTTTTAAACCATTTTCTAATGGGAATTTGGTATCCTTTTGATTATGGAAATTATTAACATAAAAAAAAGAGATGGATGATAATCTTTTTAACAAGATATTTATTCGTTTATGGGAAATTTGTACAGCGAATGAGTGGAGCTAAATCCATTTAGCTATGGGAATATTGTACAGTGTGACCAGGCCTTTTTTTTCAAATGGAAATATTGCACAGGAAATAAAGTTATATTGAATTCCGATGTGCTTATGGAAATTTTATAATCTTGCCCTAGTGCAAGTTTTTGTATTAGAACTAGTCCGTGCATTTTTTGTTTTTAATAGGAATACATCTTTGTTGCATTTTGCGCATCTGTATCTGTGCTTCAAAAAAAAAAGGCCGCCACCGCTATAAGACGCAATATGGAGGGTCGGTCGGAAAGCGATTCGCTCAAAGATCCCCATTATATAGAGGAATAGACACAGATATAGATAACAGATATAGTTGTAAACCAGTATTAAAATACATATGTATATACATATATACAAAGTACATCAGATAATGTCGGAGACTCAGTAATCGTCATCTTTTGTCGTGAGAGAAACAAATTTTCATTCATAAGCCACTAAGGCCAGGGTAATGGAAATTCTGGTTGGAGCTGGGCACTACTTCTTATCCGCTCTCTCTCTCTCTCTGTTCCCTCTATTTTGCTTTTGTTATCAGCATTTTTTCTTTGTTTTCTATTTATTTATATTTTGTTTCTTCTTGCAATTAATTTCTATTTTTATTATAACAAAACAATGTCAGAGGTTGACGCGCCGCTCTCTGTCTGTATCGCTCTCCTACGATCTTCGATTTAGAATTAATTCAGATCTAAATCACAAAAAAGGTCAAAAATGTAATTGAAATTAAAGAATATTTCAATCAAAAGTCTAAAGAAATCGCCCTACTGCAGGGGAATGTCTATTTATTTATGTATCTATCGCGTTTGCATTCCGAAATCTGAAAGAAATCGCTGACAACTGCGAGAAAGGCTGACAATTGTGTGGAATGGGATTGGGAATTGGAATTGAAATTGCATTTGGAACTGAACTGAAAACTGAACTCGAAAAAACTGAAACTGAAACCAGAAACTGGTTTTCCTTTCCCAATCCGCAGCCATGTGCATTGTCTATAGATTCCAGTTGAGAAGGGGGAGGGGGCACAGATATCTAGATACTCAGATACTCGTTTATAAAATGCAGTTCAATGGATTTTTGCTTTTCAAACATAAACAGCAAGAGCGACCGACAACATTCACGGGGAACATTCTTAACGTTTACGATCCTCGATCCTTAACTCTTGCGATCTCGTGTCCTTTCGCTTATGGGAATTTTGTTGAATGAACAAACAGGCGAATCCCAGAGATTGTACGGAAAATGTCTTAATAAAATCCATTTAAAAATGACTTTGCATTTCGGACATTAGGCATTCCGTTTCGTTGTAATTTTCATTGAATCTTTCCCGTTTCTTTGTTGTAAATTTTCTTTTATTTTTTTTTTGTGTTTCTATCGCTTTGCACGCAATCCGCAAATCAGTGGAAATCATATACATGTAGATATGTGTATATATATATATATATACGATACAGTGTTGTGTATAGCGAAGATCAACCTCTCTCTCTCTCTCTGTCTCTCTCGCTCTCCGTTCCCCCAACTCTCCATTCATCATTCTTTCTCGCTCGCTGTCTATATCTCTCTGTTTTCTCTATTAACAAATGCCTGAAAGCACTGAGTAGATTCTGATTTTTCTCTACTTATAGGAAAAACGGTGGCGGGCTCTATACGTTTCGAGGGGCAGTTTGTGGCCTTTCGCTTATGGAAATTTTTGAGAGAGACAGTTTTCGGAAAGGTCCTGGGGATACCTGATGAAAAGTTTTTACTCTGCAGATATCTATAGAAGATTTTCCAAGGCAGAGTATTCGAAATAGATGGAAGATCTCTCTGGGCGAAAGATCAAAAAATCCATCCATCCAAAGGATTCCATTTTAAAGAAAGGATCAGTAGACTTTTATTTGATTTCTGAGAGCATACCATATTCGTCTTAAAATACATTTTTTCTTCAATTTTTGTGCTCAAGTGTGTCTGTTTTTGTTGTTTTTATTTCTTTTTCTCGCATTTTGCACTTGAACGACTTTCAATTGAAATGTGTATTTATGCAATCGGGGGCATGTGCCTACGAGTATATATGGTACTATATAAATGTATATAATGTACAACAGAACCCCCCCGCCCCCCCACGTCCACGCCCACCATGTTTCATCTCTCTTTCTGTTTGATTTGTGTGCGCTTTTGCTTTGTTCGCTCTACACTCTCCAACACAAGCCATCCATGGGGCCAGCAATGATTGAGCAATGGAAACATCTGCTGACATCCACTGACAAAAAACCCAAATAAAAACATAGATAAATCTGAAAGAAAGCGAGAAAGATCCCTTGAGGCAAATACAAGTAGAACCCAAAGAGAATTTCTAAAATCTAAAATACGTTCTTTCTTTCGAAACATAATTCTTTCACGAAAGCGCTTTCTGGTGGCTGTCACGCGTCATGCGGCACAGCCCATCGGTCGGGCTCCTTATTTATCTAAACACTTCATCACTAACCAAAACTAACTGTTTCTCTTTCTCTTTTCTGTCTTTTTAGGTAAGTTTTCATGGCTTTGCGACAAAATGTATGTTAAAACTATAAGGATTTGAGGCCTGTTTTGTAAGTAAGGAAAGGAGGAGAGTCCCACGATATGTGCATGATATTATTGAATAGGGGTACTCGTTGTTGAGCAGAAAATTCCATCCAATCCAACAACTAAATACACAGTCCTTGTGCTTGCTACACCCTCTAGTGTCGGTCTCTGCACCCTGTTTTGTCTGCCTCTACACCCTGTTTTGTCTGCCTCTACACCCTGTACCCTTTCACACTGCAGAACAGTCCATGCAGACCCTCTCCACAGCTCCTGCTCCTGCTCCTCGAAGAATCGGTGGATAGGAGTCCCTTTCTCGCTCCCCCTTTGGAAATTCCTTTCGCATTCCCCGCTTCTGCTCTCATTTGTAGTAGTTTTGGACAAAATGTTCATTCAATTGCAAGTTACGATGACAAAAGTTGTTCAACTACTCGGCTTCCACCCCAAACCCCACATTTACACCCCATTCACAACCACCTCCAAGAGTAGCCCCTAGCAACAGCAACAGCAACAGCACCCTTTCCCTGTGTCTCTCTCTCTCTCTCTCTGACTCTCTCTATAGATTCGATTCGAGAGTGGTACAGTATGCACTACTTTGATTGCTCTCACGTTTCAACTAATTAATTTCTTTGACGACATCAAGAGCTCGTGTCTCATTTGTGGTGATAATCAAGAGTTTTGACAGCTCAAAGTCCATACCAAGGCACCGCCTTTGATTCTCGCTTTTGTTGAAAGTTCAAAATGCATTTTGCAATGAAATTAAATACAATAATTGATGGGCAAACAAATTATAGAAGATGAGTCCAGTCCAGACCTCTTAACCCCACTATAATATTGGGTTTCAGGCAAGGTTTCGCACAAAGTAATTGAATAATTGTCTGTGCCAGAGAATGGACAACATTTGAGGAGAGACACCAAAGACTTTGGTTCAACAGGTTGCTGGATTGTGGCCCAGTGTTTATTTCATTAGGTTTTTGCCATTTAATTTGAAATGCATTCAGGTACAGGTAAGGCCTAATCGAACGGCCAAAAGCGGCTAAAAACCGCTGGCCAAAAAGGTGCTCTCCACCTGGGCGAACACCTGATCGGCATCGGGCCCCGCATCGATGGTCTTCATCTGGCCAGTGCCCTGAAAGTATTGGATGATGGGCAACGAATGCTTGTTGTACGTCTGAATGCGCTTCTTCAGAGTCTCCAGATTGTCGTCGATGCGCCCGGAGCCGTTTAGGCCGCGTTTCAGGCAGCGCTTAACGCAGACCTCCTCAGTGCAATCGAAGAACAAAACGAACTGCATGTCCACCTTCGGGGACATGCGACGATTCCAGCCATCCAGATTGTCCTGATTGCGGGGAAAGCCATCGATGAGGAACATCGAGTTCCCGGAGCTCTTCATCGCCTTCTCCAGCAGCGAACAGGTCACCTCCACGGGCACGATTTTCCCGTTGCGCATGTGCTCCTCGATCATCGTCCCGTACTGTGAGCCCTCGCGAGAGCCCTCCTCCCGCAACAGATCGCCCGTGGACAGGTGCGTGAAGCGAAATCGATCGGCGATTCTCGAGCACTGGGTACCCTTGCCAGCCCCTGGGCCGCCAAGGACGAAGACAACCTTGGCTTTGGTCGCGAAACTGCTCATAATTCCGTTCGAATAGTGCTGGAAAATGTGGTCGAGTTGTTGAATTGTTGCCTGCCTTTGAAGAAACAATAATAAAGAAACAGCTTGAAAGTTATTCCATTGACTACCCAAACTACGGGATAGCATTCGTTCCAAAGGGTGTTTTTCAACACTAAATCGATACTTGGGTTGTTTGTTGCCAAAGGAGGGAAAGGCGTGCCAAAAGGGATACGAAATGCGTAATAAAATGTCACAACAAAATCATTTTACGATTTCCACCACTTGGTGATTTCGGTGGGGCGGGGCGGGGCGGGGCATTGACTATTACTAAATACAAGGGAAATTTTATTAAGAAAAAAATACGAAAATCCAGAAATTCTTGTGGCATTTCTTTTCTCTTTTTCCCCGCTGCCTCTGCCACGCGTTCTCTCCTCTCCTCCTTTCTTTGGCTATTTTGAATGTCATTTCCTCTTTTTTTTTTTATCTGTGGCTTTGACATTTTGAATGTCTCCATCATCCCCCCCCCCACATCAATTTATTTTGGTTCCTTCTTTTCTATAAATATGGGAATTTTCGTGGAAAATATAAGTACACTGAAAGCCCGCTTTGAGGGAAGGCTGGAGCCTGAATGGATAGTCTAGGGAGAGGGAGGGGGAGACGCTTGGGTGGCGGTGCCTTCTGTGTATTGACATTTACAGTTGTTATGCTTTTCGCTTACATAATATTGTACGCCGCACACCCACACACACATGCTCATTAATTATTTGACAGGGTGACCCGAGTGTAGCGAAAGACAAGAGCGAGCAAGAGAGAGGAAAAAAAAAAGGAGAGCAGGTTGCGCACCCACGGATGCGATGCCCAAGCGGCGGCGGCAAAAAGGGAGAAGAAGAAGAAGTGAAATCAAAGGAGGAGAAGGAGCAGCAACAGTCACCTGTCCAACACTAGAAGAAGAGGGAGGAGGAGGAGGAGGAGGAGACAAGTAGGTGGCAAGAGGTGAAGGACAACCAGGAGGTGGTAAAGGTGGAGCAGTAGGAGGACAACTGTTGGATAAGTATGAGAAGAAGAAGGGGGGAAACAGAAGTGGGGGCAGGAGAAAGGAGAGGCAGAAGAAAACAGAAGCTGAAGGGGAAAGCAGAAGTGCGAGAAGGAGAAGGAGAAGGGAGAAGTATAAGTAGGCGAAGAAGAACTGAGAAGCAGAAGTGGCAGAAGTAAAAGTGGGATAAGAACATGGCAAAGGAGGAGTGGCAGTGAGACGTGTCTATTGAGGAGGAACAGCAGAATGGGCGATAAGGAACATCCACTGTGGGAGAACAAATTCAGGAGGAGGCAGGAGGTGTGGCTAATGCAGCCCTTCCTCAGCTGCCGACATCCGACTGGCAATGCAATAAGTTCTCTCTTTCTCTCAATTAGCGCTCGCCCCCACCCCCAAAAAGGATGCAAAAAGCTGTGTTCAGGGGGCAAGAAAAAGCCAAGTACAGGAAAGCCAGTGAAAGGAGAGCGCTCATGGGGGATTATTCGATTATTAGAAAAGTGTGGAAGCACTGGCAGAAAATTTAAGTACAGTTTCCATTTGATTTTCACTATTTAAAAGATACTAAAAGATACCAAATACTAGAATGTTATTTAAGTATCAAATATCTTTGAGTGAAAATACTAAATACCAAATAAATACCAATTAAATACAAATAAATGGCAAAAATGCTACAATTAATAAATACTAAACAAAAATACATATTAAATCAAAAACAAATTTTTTTAAATACTAAAACTGTTTTAAAAAAAAATACTGAAATTCATTTGAAAAATGAAATAATAAAAATCCTGTTTAAAAAAATTATACAATTCTTTTTTAAAAAATATAATAAAATTGTTTTTTTTTTTTAATACTACAATTTTTTTTACAAAAAATACTTAAATTCGTAAAATAAAAAATACTTAACTTCTTTTTAGAAAAATAATACAAATCCTGTTTAAAAAATACTAAATTCTTTTTAACATTTTTTACTACAATTTTTGAATACTGAAATTCTTTTTAAAAAAATGCCAAAATTCTTTATACAAAGAATACTACAATTTGTAAAAAATACTTAATTTTGTTTTAAAAGTACTAAAATACGTTTTAAAAAATACTCAAATTCTTAAACAAAAATACTAAAAGAAAACACCAAATAACCCAGAAAATTTCAGATAATTTCCCTAGACAAAATACAACTTTTTCCCCTAAAACGAAAGTAAAATAGCAGGAAAAATCAGAGGGAGAGAGAGCGAGAGAGGTAGAAAGGGAGATAGGAAGCGAGGAAGCGAGGGGCTTTCCATTTAATACAACTAATACGACACCACACCCCCAAAGTGTCCAGCGCCCCTCTGACACGTCTACACCAAGGAGACCCCCTCGTCATTATCTCTCATTTCTCTGTCGTCTGCCTTCTGCCTCTCTCTCCCTCCTTCGCTCCCTTTCTACCCATGTATCCCCGCCCCACAGTAGTCATTGGCTATGTAAACTCAATCAGTTGCTTGCTGTTTTTACGACGCACAACAAAGACGGATCCAGAACAGACAGTGGCAAAAATTACGAAGAAAATCGAATACCAGAAAAGGCACCACGCTTCGTCCGGTGGCAGGGCACGCCCTTTGGGGCATGCCTTTTCTGTATATTATATTTTGTTTGTTTGTATATCTTAAGCTGCTGCAGATGGTGCCCCATGGTGCTGGCGCTGCCTCTCCTTTTGCTGCTTTTGGCATCGAGATGTCATTGTTGTCATCACCATCTCATCTGCAGAGGATACCCTTTCATTTGGGACGAATGCAGCCGTTTGCTTATGGGATATTTTCACAGCGAGTACGGTCCAGGGGCTAGGCTCAAACCAAATACATGCCGTGTGTGTGATCACTCTCTTCGCTGTTGGGGGCAGCTCGGCTTAAGGGCTTAGAGTATCTGAAAGTCGTGTAATGCTGGACATTCTCGCTCGAGTGGCGTTTGCTCTTATTCGATGCTGATATGGAACGACTCTGCATATCTTTACCGTTACGTTTGGCTTTGTTTCCTTTCTGTTGTTGTTTTTTTGCGATGGGGGGTGGAGTGGAATGGAATGGAGTGGAAAATTATGCACGCGTTATGCTCGTTTCTGCAGCTCTTCGACTTGTTGGTGTTGGGGCTTTTTTGGAATACACTCGTATGTGCAAGGTATTTTGGGTTCTTCCATGCAATTTGCTCTGTGAAATATCATTTGTATCTTTCTCTCTCACTCTCTCTGGTTCCTCGGCGACGTGCCATCCACAGGCAGGTGTTCCGCCTGCCTCCAGATATGCCTTTGGGCTCCTTTTTCCGCTCCCTTTCGCCCTCTTCCAGCTGTCCCACTTGTCCCTCTCGCCCTCTTCCACCTGTTCCTTTACCTGTCCCCACCGCCCCTCCTTCCACACTTTTGCACTTAATTGGAAACGAGTTCCATTTTGGTTTCACTTGACGTATACTTAATAAGTAGCACATACGCCGCATGGGCAAGCCGCAAAAGAACAGACAAAGGGAGGGAGAGAGAGAGATAGATAGGGAAAAGGGACAGGGCAGAGAGCAGTAGGGAACAATGGAAAGAAATGCCTCCCGGAGGATGTCTGTGGAGGAGTGATTGCTGATGGATGGTTGGACGGATGGTCGGTTGGGATGTGCTCTCTCTCTCTCTCTCTCTCTCTCTCTGTGGTTTTGTCGGCTCCCCCCTCCCCCTCCCCCCTGGCAAAAGGTGTCTGTCTGTCTTCCCCCCTCGCTCACCGCTGGCTCCACTCTCTGCGGTGTGTGTGGGCGTGGCTGCACTTTGGCTTTTGGCAACAATTTTTCCGTTGATATTTAATGGGGAAATTCGCGTATCCTGAAGATCCAAAGGGACGGAGAGAGAGAGGTGGGGGGAGAGAGAAGAAAGCTTAGAGCAAATCCTTATGTTCGTTTTTTTTTTTCCTTTCTTTTTCCTTTCTTCTTCCTTTTTTTTCATTCTTTTTCTTCGTACTTCCACTTTGCGCGTTTCTCTCTGTTTTCGCTTTGTTTTATCTCTGTTTTCTTTTATTCTTTACTCTTTTATTATCCTTTGTTGTTTTTCTTTTTTCTTCTTTATTTGTGGGCTCTTCTTGATTCCTTCTTTACTCTTCATCCTGAGGTTTGGGCGCTTCCGCTTTGCGGTTCTTCATTCTTCTTTGTCTCCTTTCTCTGCTTTCTGCTTCTTTCTTCTTCTCTCGTACTTTATTAATCAGTTTAGCCTTCTTTCAGCCCTTCCTTCAGCATTCTTTCAGCCCTGCTTTCAGCCTTCTTTCGGCGCTTCTTTCTGGCTTCTTTCAGCCTTCTTTCGGCCCTTCTTTCTGGCTTCTTTCAGCCTTCTTTCGGCGCTTCTTTCTGGCTTCTTTCAGCCTTCTTTCGGCCCTTTTTTCTGGCTTCTTTCAGCCTATTTCAGCTTCCCTTTGACCATTCTTTTTGGCTTCTTTCAGTCCTTCTTTCAGCCCTCCTTTCAGCCCTTCCTTCAGCATTCTTTCAGCCCTTCTTTCAGCCTTCTTTCGGCTCTTCTTTCTGGCTTCTTTCAGCCTTCTTTCGGCGCTTCTTTCTGGCTTCTTTCAGCCTTCTTTCCGCCCTTCTTTCTGGCTTCTTTCAGCCCTGCTTTCAGCCTTCTTTCGGCCCTTCTTTCTGCCTTCTTTCCGCGCTTCTTTCTGGCTTCTTTCAGCCTTCTTTCCGCCCTTCTTTCTGGCTTCTTTCAGCCTATTTCAGCCTCCCTTTGACCATTCTTTTAGGCTTCTTTCAGTCCTTCTTTCAGCCCTCCTTTCAGCCTTCTTCCAGCCTATTTCCAACATTTCTTTCGGCCTTTCTTTCAGCCTTCTTCTGCCTCCCTTTGACCCTTCTTTCAGCCCTCCTTTCATCCTTCCTTTCACTTTAATCGCGTGACCAGCCGTGAAATCTCATTCTCATAATTCGAGGCCAATACACACGGGGGTTGCCTGCATACACTCCTGTGTGGGTGGAGAGGGGGTGAATGTTGCACATTCTGCTGTTGCTGGTGTTGCCACC